GGGCCGAAGTTGTTCCCGACCGTGATTACCCATACAGGCCCAAGGACTTTATTCCACCAGGGCCCCTGGGCCTGAAGCGAAAGAAGGCCAGCCGAAAAGAATTGTCCTTCTTCTCGGAAATATTTGACCGAGCCTGTGTCAGGTACCTGGTCCGCTGCACGAATAAGTATGACCGGGAGAGACGAAGAGCCCACCCGGCAGAAAAACGCTCACGTTGGAAACCCACCAACTCAACCGAGTTGAAGGCGTTTTTGGGTTGTATGATCGTGGCTGGCTACGTACACCTACCGAACCTTGCGTTCTATTGGGGCGTTGACGAAGACTGTGGCTGTTGGTTGATAAAGAGGACTTTTCCCTTTCACCGCTTTTGCCAGATCCTTCGTTACCTTCACTACTCACCAGAAGGGTACTGTCCACCTGGCAGCCAGCGGCTGGAAGATTTCAAAGCGATGGAGAGGCTGGATAGGGTTTCGAAAGTGCGTCAAGTCATGGAGCGAGTCAACGCGAATAGTAGGTCCGCTTGCCACGTCGGGGAACACCTCGTAGTTGACGAGGCGATGGTGGCTTTCCGCGGTAGACATGGCCTCCGCCAGTACAACCCTTCGAAACCTACTAAGTATGGGTATTGTGTGCGTGTTCTTGCTGAAGCCGATGGCTATATCCTGGCCGACGAAGTGTCGGGGGCAAGGGCGGATCCAGAGGACATGTCAGCGTACCAAAGAGCCATGCACGGCGTTGGCGACGACCAAGTCAGCCCTCTGGATCTGAAGCCGGCTCGCATCGTACACAGGCTGACGTTGCCGTTCCAAGGACGCTATCGCATTGTTTTCTGTGACTCTTACTACACAGACGCCCAGCTGGCAGACCATCTTTTTGCGAAGGACACGTACTTGGTGGGGACGGTGAGAAGGAATGCGGCAAGCCTACCGACTCTACGGCACCCCATTCCGCCGAGAAGCAATCGTGGCCGCCCGCCGACACAGAGCTTCCGTGACCCATTTCCTAAGCTGAACGTGCCGAGAGGTTACTCCGTCCGGTACCACGATGGGCCTCTTACGGCGGTGAAGTGGAAAGACACCAAGACGCTCATCCTCTTATTGACGGGGACAAGTGTCGGTGCTCCCGATGTACAAGTTACCAGGCGATCGAAAGGTCCTGGAGGAGGAGCTATCCGTCAGCAGGTGCCATGTCCAGCGATGGTGGACTTGTACAATCGCCACTACAAGGCGGTTGACAAGGCGGACCAGCTAAGGTCTTCCTACGAATTTGGGCGCCCGTCGAAGAAATGGCATAGGCAACTGTTTTGGTATGTGCTGAATAAAGCAGTGGTGAATGCATACCTAAACTGGGACGCCTACACGTCCGAAAGGAGCCGCAAGAACAAGGAGAACATTCCCGTCCACAAAACTACCCAGCTGAGTTTTCGCCGAGCGTTGGTGCGGCAGCTAGTGGGGAATTTCTCGGCCAGACGCAAAGCACCTGCTGGGAACCCGCCCGTCGTCCACCCTGTGATAGAACCAGTCATCGTTGAACACGAGCACGTTCGCCGAGGGAAGCCGACGCGAGCCTGCCGCTACTGCGCCAAAGCCCGCCGGCATATGACTGGAGCGAATCGTCCGAGACCGCACGAGACCATCTACGAATGCAGCACCTGCAACGTTTCCGTCTGCCGAGTGTCTCTTCGCCCAGTGTGCTGGCGTGAACACTTAGATGAAATGCGGCAGCAGGTTTCATAGACGTTTTGGGGTCTATGTGTTGTAGTAGCGCCGGGGAAAGGCGTGATACCTACCGATAATGATTCTTGTGTAAGGCCGGGAAAGGCCGTTGAACTAAGTGTTGCAGGAGCGTCAATGTGTTGTAGTAGAGCCGGGGAAAGGCGAGATACCTACCGATAATGACTCTTGTGTAAGGCCGGGAGAGGCCGTGGGACTGTTAAAGTGTTGCAGGAGCGTCAATGTGTTGTAGTAGCGCCGGGAAAAGGCGAGATACCTACCGATAATGACTCTTGTGTAAGGCCGGGAGAGGCCGTGGAAATGACCGTTAAAGTGTTAAGAAGGGCATAAAAGGAGGTTAAATTAGGAGAAAAAGGAAAATTTGTATCGTCTGCATATTGTGAAATTTTAGTGGATCTTCCATTAATAACTAAACCAGTCAAGTTATGGTTATGGCGTATCTTAATAGATAGCATTTCCACGGCAATAATAAAAAGATAAGGGATCAAGAGACATCCATGTCTTACACCTCGCTGTAAAATAAAGGGGCTAGAAATATGACCATTATTTAACACAGAACTAGTGACATTATTATATAAAACATTAACCCAGGCAATGAACTGGGGACCAAAATGGAAAAATTCTAAGGCTTTTATGATGAAGTCCCATCTAATTGTATCAAAGGCTTTTTGGTAGTCCGAAATAAAAATAAGTCCAGGTTCATTTTCATAATGTTCAATCGTGTCAAGAATACGCCTAATGTTGTCCCCTATGAATCTACCATGAATAAATCAAGTTTCCATCATCAATTATTTCAGAAATAACAGTTTTTAATCTTAAAGCTAAACATTTGGACAATATTCTAGTGTCGCAGCAAAGTAAGGGGCCTCTAATTGTCTAATAATGAGGGGTCTTTGTCTTTTCCATCACTACCCTGTTTTAACAATAATGAAATAATTCCTTGTTTCTGGGTGTTGGCTAAATAACCTTGTGCTAGAGAATAATTGAAACACTCCAGCATAGGGACTTTAAATACAGAATAAAAATGTTTGTACACGTCAACAGGGATTCCATCTAAACCGGGGGATTTACCACTTGAAAAGGAGTTAATCGCATCAATCAATTCTTTCTCTGTGATAAGACCCTCACAACCCAGCTGCTGATCATGTGACAACGTTTTAGCATACTCCAGCCTCCAGGGGGAAAAATCTTGACAATTATCAGGGGTTAGGGGTAGTGGAGGGTCTTTGAAGGCATACAAGTTAGAATAAAATTCCTTTTGTTTTTTCAAAATTTCTTCAGGGTCACAAGTAAAGGTGTCATCTGAAATCTTTAATTTCTGTATATTCTTTCTGGTGTAATTTCTTTGAGCCATATTTAAAAAATATTTTGTACATCTCTCTCCAGACCCCATCCACCTGGCTCTTGACCTTATCATTATTACATCCGGGTAGGGATGTATCCCGTGCGCGGAGGTTTTGTGGGGGGAAGATGGAAATTACGTTCGCAGCCGTTTCTAGCGTTTGGGTGGACGGATATGTCTGGGACTTGGTATACGTTTTGCTATTGGGCTGTAGATGGTGCACGTTGTTTTTGTTTTTTAGTATGTGTGTTTTAGTGCGTGAAAATGATGCGTTTTGACAGCGTATGGACACCCCTTGTGTGTGAAAGTGGTTTTGTCTTTTAGTTTTCGGCGTGTATAAAGTGTCGTAGGTTGCGTCCACATCTGGTGAGAGGGGGTTTTCAGGTATCGAGTGTGAAAATGGTCGCGCGGGTCGCAGCCAGCCAACTTCCGGGTGGGCCAATGGGTCAGGGGTAAACGCCCTCTTGCGCAATTTCGGATGTTTTCGGCGTATATTACGACTTCTTAACTTACAAATACCGTGG